AGCAAGAGAGAATGAGAATTGAAGTTGGTAATTAGGTTCGTTACTAACTTGAAAACGGCTTATAAGTAGCTATTAAGTCGTTAAGTATGGTGGAAAAAGGGGTAAATAATTGACATGAAAGCTAAAAGTTACAAATCAAACTTTCCAGCCTCAATTTCTATTTGTTTAATAAATCTTGACTAGCAAACTATCATCTCAAACAAACATCAGTGACCGTACACGTGTCAAGTTCCCTGTCCAACATTATGATATGATCCATACACGGATCAATGTTTGGCCAACTCCCTTGACTAGGAATATAAAAATGAGTTCAACCAAATCATATTGGAGATTGTTGACCGAATTAGCATTCAATTCAAATGTTGAGATTGGATGTGAAAAAAATAAAATGGACGGAGTTTTATCTGAATTTCAAATATTGCATACATTTTTCTTCTACAAATATGGAGTATTTACAAAGAATTTAAGTCGGAGGTATTTCAGACATTTTTTCCCGTATTGAGTTCTAAAGTGGTAAAAATTGTTTCACTAGCCCAAATGGTCCAAGTCAAAAAATAAGGCCCACCGACGGTCCACTTGACAAGTGTGCCATCTTTGGCCTTGCTTGTTATGTTGATTAAGCCAAATGCACGGTTCAAGACCCATGTGTCAATTTGAAACTCCTAATAATTTATTTTCAAGATAAATCACACTATGATTTGATCAAATCAAGTAGGAGTTATGGGTATCTCAATCGAATTGATCTTATCAGGTTCAGCTCCAACCAATCAGAATATCTCGCAATGTCCTCGTCAATCCCGCCTAGACGATTGTCCCGCAGCTATGAATTCAGTGGACAGTCTTACGTTCATGTATATAAAAATTACTTCACCCTCTTTTCACCTAGCATTCGTATAATCCTTGACAAGTTTTAGTGACTTGACCTTGGAGGGTCTTTGGCTGGCACCACACCGGTGTCCTATTAAGATCTTTTGCGATCTTTCTTTCTCGTTCTACTTTTTCGCAGGATTGCTGGTGGCCTAATCGATTCGATTCTCTCAATTGTAGAATCTATTGTTTGCAATTTGGCGCCAACTATGTGGCCCGAGCAATCATTTTTATGAATGGAGCTTTTACCATTACTATTTATCAATCACCATCACCATGTCATTCTGAAATCCATCGTACGAATGAGACTACTAATTACGCTTTAGATAAAATGGCTTGTCGAGGAGCAGAATGAATGATGACCCAAGAGGTGGAAGCAACAAGGCGATAATGAGACAGCTCAAGTCATATCATTGCTTGCCAACCATTACCCAACCAGTCCAGCCAACAGTTGTTTATCAGAATGTTGTTCATCCTACGTCCACGCACTCTTAGCTACTGTTCTGTCTAGCGAAGTAACTACACAACTAGACCAACTCATCGAGTTGACAAATCAGAATTCACAGAAATTGGATAGACTAGAAGCAAAGATTGTTGTCATCTGTGTGGATAATCGAGACCTTCAAGAAAGGGTAGAATCATTGGCATCGGATCTGACTTTGGTACGTTCGTCCAGTTCCCAAACTCCATTCAGACCAACACTTTCACTCGACCAAAATGGACTTAGGACCATTGGTTCAAACGTCCAATTTGCCACACCGCTAAAAGTAGAACCACAGCCTACAAATGGACAAGATCCAGAGTTCGCACGAAAGTTAGCGGCAATTGAAGCCATGGTTTAATGTATCCATTGGATGCCTCACCAATCAAAAAGAGTGCAGCCAGTTGTTTCACCGACTTTCCCTTTGTTGATGAAATTGCCCTAGTGGAAATGCCCAAAAATTTTGGCTTCCCTAACATGAAACTTTACGACGGGGTGGCAAATCCGAACGATCACATAGCTCAATACAAACAGAGAATGTTTACTATGTTATACCGAGAGACCTTCGCGAGGCCTGCATGTGTAAGGGGTTCGGCTCTAGTCTTGTGGGGCCGGCCCTACAGTGGTATACAAACTTTCCTAATAATTTTATATCTTTGTTCACACAACTAACTGATACTTTTGTTGAACAGTTCGCAAGCAGCAGAAAAAAGCGATATGACTACCTTTATCATATAGTTCAATGGAGAAATGAAACACTTCTTGAATTTGTCGGATGATTCAACCGAGAGAAAGTTTCCATTCCTAGCTTCAACCAGCAAACTGTTGTTTCTATCTTTCGAAAGGGGCTCCTCTTAGACACTTGTTTGTATAAAGAATTGACCAAATATCTATGCAGCACAGTGGAGGATGTCTTGGCTAAAGCCTGGACCCAGATTAAATGGGAAGATGATGATGCTAACTTCAATTTCACCAGACACCAACCCCTCAAAGAAGAGCCACGAAGACAATACAAGGTTGAAAAATGATTTACAAGTACTCATTCTCCTCCAGATAAGAGGGACACCAAGCTCAGAAAGCTACCCAGACCATTTGATGAGATGAGAAGCTCTAGTGACCAACATGACAAGACTAAGTAGTGTGAGTTTCACGTAGACCACGACCACCGAACATATGATTGCATTGCCTTAAGATTGGAAGTGGCATAGCTATTGAAGCGAGGACATCTTACAGACCTTCTGACTGAAAAAGGAAAAGAGAATGTCGCCAAACAACAACAACCTCTTGGTAAGCAAGGCTCTGGTCCAGTGGTCACGCTGACACATGATAAAACTATTAATTTCATCACCGGTGGGTCATAAGTTAGGGGATAACAAGGGTAGCAGCACGAAGACATGCACGTTGAGTAACTTATCTTTCCCCGAGAATAAACCAAGTAAGCCAGTCAGACTCACCACAAATCATTAGCTTCACAACCTCTGAGGCTACGCAACTACTCAATCCACACCATGATGCTTTGATCATATATTTGAACATCGCAAATTGCTTGACCAAGCACATCTTGATAGATAATGACAACAGTGCAAATATATATTTTTTGAAACTGTTAAGGCCATGGGGATTCCAGAAAAAAAATTACTCGTCGAACAACAATGCTAATCGATTTCAGTGGTGAACAAAATAACACTTTGAATGATATCGTACTGCCTGTATATGGAGAATGAGTTAACCTCCACACCTAATTCATCATAATGGATAGCCCATCAACATATAATGTTATATTGGGGAAACCCGAGATCCATGAAAAGAAGGTTGTACCGTTGACATTTCATCAAGTATTGTTTTCCTACCAAATGGGGAATAAGTGAGATTCATGGTGACTAAAGGGATTTTAGAAGCTGCTACCAAAATTCACTTCGCTCTAGCCAATGTCCTTTATAGCAATTACAGCAATTTCAGCCTGTAATCCTAAACCATCCAGATATGGAAGAGCTAGATATAGTACAAATCCACCTCGAGTTTTCTAAACACCAAACTCAAGTGGGGGCAAGGTTAAAACTAATGCTCAAGCAACGCCTAGTTAAGTTTCTCATTGAACACCGTGACTATTTTGCTTGATCTTACACATACATGATCGGTGTTGACCTAGAGATAATGACTCACAAATTGAATTTCGACCCCCAATACATTCCGATCAAATAGAAGCAAAGAAGATTCTCT